GAGCTGTTAAGTTTTTTGCATGTCACACTGTACGAGATGATGCCAGCAAAATCCTGGCCAAATTCTGTGGCACACTGCATGAGATCATTTGTGTTCATGTGTGCTGCATGTTAGATTATTTGATAGATTTTCTGAAGATTATGATCTGAAAAGACTGGTAATCTAGCAGTCCCATCCACTTGTAGTCATATTGTCCAGTGCCTTACTCCTAGGTTTTTAGACATGTACTGTAGAAGCAAGCACATTCCTATATTTTGCTCCAATATCTGTTGGAACATGGGTGTATGCTATCTGTGGATGCAAAGGCGCTAAAATCAGCCTCTGGTGAATGTGTCACAATAAGCGTTTCAAGACCATCCATTTTAACTTATGACCAGAATTCTTTCATGATTTGTCTGGCTATTCATAGAGCGTATAACTCCATGTACTCAGATTATGAGTATAGATGCACCAATATGGAAATTGTGAGCCGCTGACAATATTCTATATTTTTCATGTACTTATCTGCCAATATCGATGTCGATACATAACAGTTTACAACATGTAAAAATTGAAAGTACATCTACCTCAAGTAGCATTACAGAGAAACATAAAATTTATTTCTGTAGGGTTACAAATGCAGTAAAATGAATAAAATGCAGACATTTTAGCATAGTAACCCAGTGTTGCCTAAAATTTCTGCTCTTCTAGAGTACAGTAAATGTGTCATCAGATATTGGATTGGAACACTAGTCAAATGTGAACACCAGTTCGATGGTAATATATATAACTTTAAAGCAAATGTCTGCCAATATCGATATGATTCCGATATCACTGTGCAGCCCTAATTGTGAGAAATGTTTTGGTAATACTTGGTGGCAGAGCAGACTGCCTGGTTCTTGTACCCATGTGTTTTATTAGAGTTTTGTAACCTAGTATCCATGTATAATTTAGGTGTGCAGGATTAGCCTATAGATGATGAATTATACAGTGTTGAAGTTCTGTTTTTATGCTGACCTTATTTCTACCTTCTCCCCCTTACCCATTCTCCACCAACACTCTCCATGTGGTCTTTTTCAGGGCCCCGGTGACATGTCTTCCTCTGATGAGGAGAGCCTAAGCGAGCGCTCATGTGTGAGCGAGCGTTCCTTTCGTAGCGAGCGGTCAGGGGGTTCTCTGTCTCCGTGTCCCCATGCGACCACCGGCCCTAAAGGGGACACCCTGCCCTGGAACTTGTCCAGACACGAGAGACGCAAGAGGAAGAGCCAGGACTCTGTGCTGGACCCTGCTGAGAGAGCTGTGGTGCGAGTGGCAGGTAGGAGCTGGCAGTATCCATCATTTAGGACAAAGCATAGGGAAGATTTAGAGGGGGTTGCTTCAGGAGTGCATTGGAGAAACATCACAGGACTGGAATTACAAAGAGGCTACACAAAGAATTCAGAACCACTTATCCAGTTACTTAGATCATGTGTTTAGGGGGAAGTGAAAAAAAGACCAAGGCCTTTCATTCACTGTGTCTGGAGGAAACTACATTTTTGATACATAAAAATGATTTAATTAATGAAATGAAATATGTTCGTCCATTAACTGAAGTATGATACGATGAATTGAACTGCGTTCTAAAAATTATGGGTTTAATTTTGTAAAGATTTGTGCTAATGTCAGGAATACAGCTTTATTTTTTGGGGTATCTGTGTGAGAGGATTGGGCTCTGGAGAGAGATGGTGTGTGGACTAAGAGAACCGTAGTAGGTTTAACTGCTTTTGTACTTTTTTCTCTTTGAAGTTAGGCTGTTTGCTAGTTTATTTCATACTGTTCATAAAAAGTGTGTGTTGTGCACTAATCAGGAATGAGACAAAGAAGTGGATTGTAATGTTCATCTAGTGAACAAATGTGAGAAGGGAGAGGAGAGGGGAAGAGTAAATTATTGTACCCCCGAGTCCAGTGATGCAGTTGGAGAGGAGTGTGAGAAAAGGGGCCAAACATTAGTCACAGTTTAGGAGTAAAAACAGATTTCCAGAGATTCGCTTCACATTCAAGTGCTGTTCGTTTTTTGTTTCGTAGATATTCTTCTGTGTGTTCTTTCTGTATATGGACAGATTTGCTGACTAGCATCAGTTTTGTCACACTGTTTGGAGTTTCTTCTGTATTATAACTTTTCATCATGAGGGAAATATCCCAGCTGTGAAGTGCAAACCCAGTGAGTTCTCCAGTGCTCAGTGCTTGAGTGCTGATGCTCTTGCATTTTGGCTTTGTTCATGTCTTTTCACTAAAATGGGAAATACATTAATGCCACCAGAAAAGTGATTGAGTAGGAAATTGATGATCAGGCAGAATAGGCTGAAAACGTTTTCATGCCAATTAGCATCCCAGATAAGACTGTCTGCAAGCAAGTGATGTATCCACAGGCCTACATCCGGTATAATTTATTTAATTTTTTAAGCGACTCAAAGGGCGACTCAGCCTGGCTCCCTCCATTCCCGTGTTGCCATGGGGACCTGCACACTCTACCAGTCGCCTAGTTTCCATGGCTATGAAGGAGAGGGAAAGACACTGGGAAGTAGAAAGGGCAAAAAGGCCCAAAACAAATAGTGAAATACAGAGAAGGAGCGCATTTGAATTTTAATTTGAGTTTGAGAAAAGAGGGAGATTTTGTGGGGGGCAGAGACGAAGGAGTGGAATGGAATTAAGTGAAACGAAAGAGGAGAAAATAATTAGGAGAGTACAAAGCATGAGAAATGGGAGGGGCTTGGAAAACGGTCAAGGTTCAAAGTGGAGGACAGTGAAGAGAGAAGTAATGATGACTTGGGTTGGAGAGACAATCAGTGTGTAATAAGAGATGTGCATTGAGATTTTGGATTTAAGTTCATTTATGTCCATTTCATACAACTCGACCACCGACCATATACACTGAAAATACTATGCTTGTCTGTGTGTAGTGGATTTGCTTAAAGTCTTGGATAATATGGGCTTTTACCATAATTTTGATAAATGTAGTGGGAGGGAGTGTCTGTGTTTTGGTAGTTTGTATCTCTGTGCATAAATTTGAGAGACTAATCAAGAAGAGCATGATGATGGCGATTATGATGATGATTCAGCTTTGATTAAGTTGGCACTGTTTGTCAGTCCGGCAGGGTCACAGTAACTGGGTGCGTTGGCACTGTTTGTCAGTCCGGCAGGGTCACAGCAACTGGGTACTTAGCTGATAAGAATGCAAGAGCAATATGATTGTGGCTTTCCAATGAGTTGAACTGCCATTTACTTTATTTGCTGGACCTGAAATATGATGGATTTATCTAGACCATTATATTCCTTATTATCAGAGAAAGTGAAACACTGCCCTGTGCGCATGAATTCTGGGATTATTCGCTGCATTTTTCTAACCATTATAGCAGTATGCTTAAATATGTGGTATTCATAAATTTTATTACCCTGTCATTGTGGTTAGGCATCGTGTCCAAATAACGAAGACACAGTTAATAATAAGGCAAGCTTGACAGTAGTAATAGAATAGAGGGGTGCTGCGTCTGAGTCACCGCTCCTTGTTGTGTTTAATTATCATCAGCTCTGGCCTCTCTCCCCCTGCTGTGTATAATGTGTCCCTGGCTGATGGGTGCATAGAGACAGTGGGCCAGAAGCAGTATCTGCTGTCAGATTTTGCCGTCCTTATCTGACATTGCCAAAAGTTGTAACTGCGAGACTCTAGTTTTATATTAGTGTGTGACTTTATAAGTATTTAGATGGTGAAGTCAAAATTCTAAATGTTGGACTAGAATAGAAAAGATAGATTGGAGGCAAAAGCACTACATGTAAACTTGCTTGTCTGCAGAGTTCTGAAGTTGTGTTTTTACATCTCATAACTATACTAGCTTATGATTACTGTATCGGTCTCCTATTCAGTTAGTGAGATCAATGCATGATTGGCTTAAAACAGGAAAATGACTTAGCCAGTCCATGATTACGTCCCTGCTGAACTTTTTGGGCAGTGTGCTTTGGGTCATTGTCTTATTGCATTACTAAACAGTCCTCAGAGTCTGCAGGAATGTAACTAAACAAATAAGATGTTTTTGAACATCTCTGCAGGCATTTTAGGGGCATCAACAAGAAAGATGACTGAGTATCATAAAACTGGCCAGCTCATCTCTGCTTTTAATCAAACTGTAACCCAACTTTCCCATCTGGACGACTGGTGAGAAATTTCCATCTTGCACTATAGCTTTTGTAAGCCTGATGTGGAGATTTTCTGTTTCTGTTTTGGACTGCCCCTACTTTCTGGAGGCTTTATCAGTAACAGTGACAGTTTTAATAGTTTTGTTTTTACCCATTTTCCTTGGGTAACGTCCAGTAACTACGTCCAACGTAGTTACTGCAGTTACTGAAAAGAGAATTATACTGTTCCAAAGCTATTTATCACATGCTGAGGGACACCCTGTATATATTCTTGTATGTAATTGTGCTATCACTCTTTACAATGCATTCACTATAATTGATATTAAGTAAAACAATTTGTGTCAGTTTATCTTGACCCACAGCACTGACTACTATTTCCTAATGGCCTAGTCTTGATGTGAACTAAGACATTTGTGGCTCTGCTCTCCATTGACCCAGATCCACTTAACCTGAACCCACCTTTGTTTCTGCTATATCCTAAGATTACACCAAGCTCAAAGATGGGATTTTCAGGATGAAAAAACACAGTGCATTAGGGCAGATTAAAAAACGACGTATTTTCCCATATGAAGGTTAAGCTTACTTATTCATACATGACGATCCCACATCACCCTTCTGTGGCCATTAGATGGCAGACGCTGTGTGGATCCTCCAGAACAAAAGCTTTCTGTTAGGCCACGTCATATTGATGTGGACAATCCCTTTGCGTCCCTTTGCACCGCGTCTCTTTGACCGGCAGGGGGCGACACAGCCCGGGAATCCGCGCCCAGTGCTGTCAGCCATGTCGTCCAGGCTCCAGCCCGGCTATGCAATTTCCTGCGCTGGATGTGCCTGGCGTGGCTCGAAGGGAAGGGAGGGATGGATGGATGACATGCACTGCAGGAAGAATAGAGAAACCCGAACCCCATTCGCACGGGGGGAACGGAGGGAGGAGTGAGAGAAAGCAGGCGAGAGTCGCTTACAAGACGAGCAGCCATTATACTGAAGTGCAAGGAGAAAAGCGCGGAAGATCCAGCGGCCACTGGCGAGGCAGGAGCACACGAACAACGGGGACAGACGAGCCGGGCGCAGGATACGATTACCTCTGATTTCGGAAGGAACCAAACGGCCAGCCCCCAAAGACCGCCCTCCCCAGCACACACGTATACACACACACACACACACACACACTTCAGGATCGCGTATCTAGCAGGCAAACACACACACACACACATTCGCCGGCTGGAAGAAAGGACTTTAAACACACGACAAGCGATGCGCCGTAGGTAGCCGCATAAAAGATGGATTTATATAACAGCCCCTTTATATGAGTCTTTTTTAGATGGCTTACATTTTAGTTGACATGAATTTAGGATATTTAAACTAATAATATGAACATGTTAAACTGTTTGTAGCTCGAGTTTGATTGTTACCATTCAAATTAGACAAGGTGGATTGTCCGTGTGAATACGCTTGACTGAGGAAAACAAGTCGTCTTCGTCAAGGTTGTCCTAGACTGAATTCTGAGCCGTGGATGAAACTTCATCCGCAGTGGAGGTAGAGCCGAGTCGGAGCGGAGACCCAGATCCCCGCGCTGCGCTGGATTACTGCGGCCACCATGGCTGGATTCATGCCGGGCTTACTGCCCACAAACCATTCGCAGGAAAAGGAGTTCGCTAAGGCATACGAGGACGTTCTGGAGAGATACAAAGGTAAAGGTTTTTGAAGGGAAAACTGGGACATGTGATGGTGGGACACAACGCAGTGTTAGGAGTCCGGTCTGTTTACACAGTTAACGTTAAGCTAGCAGGCTGCGCTTATTCTTGAGTAGCCTACGCTGTGTAACTTGCGCAGTTGTAATTTTTGTTTTGTCGGTTTTAACATTCACTTTAACCTTGTGTTTAGTGTGATCGTCTAAGCATTCGAGGTTTGTGTTTTTCTTAAAGCTAACTGTTCACAAAGCACAACGAAGGTGATGTGTAGTGACTGTGCTACGCATTTATTAAGCTAATTCCATTTTTCTAAAGGGTCCCATCAAAACAGTTTTTTTCCCGTAGTGGAGCCGTGTTCCGGTGGACCGGCTAAAATGTTCTCATGTGAGAGCGACCGGAATATCGCTGAAGGAGCCTGGCTTGGGTTGTGTTGAACCGATTCAGCTGTGGGCTCACTAGTACTTCAGAGTTCATGGCTGCGGTCCAATTTGCGCACTTGCGTTCTATCTAGAACGCTTTTCTAGAGCGCAGTGCTTGAGTTCTAATTCTAGTTGTGAAATTTGCCGCATTCACAATATAAGTACGCAAATTGGAACGCAGCCCATGTGTTCGATGATAACAGTAATGCTTACGGAATGAATACCTGTAGAGAAAAGACCTGTGACATAGTAGCGGGAGGGAGAATGAGACAAGTCAGTTGAGACGCCGAGCGTCTGTAATGCAGGGATGATGTAAAAGGGGCGCTTTTAATTATTGATTAGCGTAATGAAATGCGATTCTTTAGTGGGTTAATATGGGGTTGATGGTGTTTTGGGGAGGAGTCGTATTCACTGCTGTTGGCCAGTCCACTGAGACACCAAAAATATAGCTTTGTTAGCCTGTTTTCAGAGTCCAGTGAGGATATTATTTACTACTATGACTACTACTAATAATAATGACAACGTGCTCTTAAATGTCTGTTCACCTGCCAAAAGCCAGGTCATAAACCTGTGCTCACAAAGCTCACAAATCCAGAGTTTGGCCTGCTTCTCTTTCCTTGGCCGATTGTAGGTCTGCTCAAGTGAATGTGTGGCCTTCACCTTAGTACTCAGTCAGCTTACTTATTGTGTCAGTAAAACAACACTAATGCTATGAATGAAGGCAATATGTGAACAAGCATAATCTCTTCTCCTTTCCTCACACAAGTGCTCCATCAGCCTTCAAGGACGACAGCGCTTAATTGTCCAGCGTTTACATGCGCATTACCAAAAGTACCTCCGTTATGATGATATGAGGAGCGTTTTTATTTTGATGGAACGAGAACTTGACCAGAGAGTATTTGTAAAGTTCTGATGTATCTTAATCACTCTAAGGCATTTGTACAGTTACAAAATGGTCTTTCATGTGCTTTTATTGGCATTGTTATTTTTTTTTCTTACGGCAGCCTTACTCGTACATTTTTTTTATACTGGTGCAACACTTGACTGTTCCTTTCTAAAGCTCACAGTCCTTTCCTGTAGCCTACCTGAGTTAGGTAACTGCCCTTGCTATGACTAACAACTTGGCACTGAAGCTGCCAGTCTAAGCTGTGCTGGAGTTAAAGCTGATGGAGTGGTGCAGTTTACCTGTCTGTCCACTTCTGTCCAACTCCCATGTACGCCTTAATCTGTTTATAATGTGCCCTAGTCTCAAAACTGTGTGACACCTCCCCTAACGCTGTGTGTATATATTTTTGGATATCATTGTAAGAGTTCAACTGTGTCTTACTTGTAGTGCATTCATGAAGAATAATATGAGAAACGTGAACTTTGTAGAGTGCTAAAGGCATTACTTAGTTGAAATAAGAGAAGCCATGTGATACGGGGTTTAATAATTCAAGGGCCTGTTTCTGTTTGGGTGTGTGAAAGAGAGAGGTAGAGTTTGTTTATGAGAAGAGAAAGATAATTTAAACTATGATGTGTGCATGTATGCACATTTTCATGTTCCTCTCTTGTTTTCCAATGCGCTGGGAGTTGACGGGTTCAGAACAATAGCAGGATATCTAAAAGAGTTTGGGTGCCTGAAAAGGGAAAGAGACAGGCGTGTGATTCAGAACGAGACACACACAGGAAACGGTGATACATAACCAAGATGGCTTCCCAACATTCAGCAAGATGGACACTAGCCTAATGTTTGGCTCCTGCATTTCTGAACCAGATAAAGGTTCGGCCGACATCCCGTGGGCCTGCAGTGTGAAATGTAAGAGCAGGCTAGGTCAGAGAAGTTGTTTTTTATTTAATAAATTGTGGTAGGGCTTCAAAATTTATAGTGGAAGGTCACGTGTCTGAGTTTGTGTGAATGGAAGGTCAGCAGGTAGGATAGTCAGAAGTCTACTGATATCCTGTGGGCCAAAGGAAGCGACATTGAGCTTAGAGGCCTGCACTGTCTGTGCATCCTTGTGATTGCCTGCAGGAAACACTCGTTAGGATGTGTCCAGAGATTTCCCACTGTCTGTTGGAATACATCTCGCTCTACTTACTGTACAAATGTTATGTCTGCTTTTCAAAGAGCCCTAATTGTCTTACATAGTTTCAGCTACTGGTTTGGGAAGTCCCAAATAATTCAGAACGGTTTTGTTTTATTGAATGTGGCTCTGGTTTGGAGTGGAAACGGGAGCTGGATGTGGAGTGCTGAGGCAGACAAGCCATCGTGAGACGGATCATTACAGCTGCATTTTTCCACGTGGCCTAGTTTTCCCCCAATCCTTGCCATTTCACTCCCGTAGCTGACTGCAGCGACCATGAGTGCGTGCTCTTTCTCCCTTGACCTTTTCTCTTTCCGTTGTCCTTTTTCTCGCTGTCCACATTTTCTCTCTTTCCCTCTCTCTCCCTCTCTCACACACACTCACTTTCACTCTCACTCTTTCTCTCTCCTGCTGCAGGATTTCCCACCCATTGCTTCCTGTTTGGTCACATTCTCCTGTATCACCTGACTGTGCCGGCAGGAAGAACAAATGCTGCCCCAGCAGAGCAGACTTTCCTTTTTTTCGTTCTTTTTAGCTTCCTCTTTGCGTGTCTATGTCCTTGAAAATGGACTGTTGTAGCACACCTGTGGTCAAGCTGCTGTGTCCAAGAGACCAAGGGTCCAAAATTTTTCAAAAGTAGGTTCTGAAGTTTGTCAAAGAAATATTTCAGTGAAATATCACGCCCCCCCCTCCTCAAATGTTGCCAGCTGTAGCATGTTTTATGTTTGAAGCTTATAACCATCAGTGCATTCTATTTGGGCATCTGTAGCCATGAACAAAATTAGACATAACTAAAAACAGTAATAGTAGCCATTTTTGTCCATTTTTATAGATAACTGTATGTCATACAATGTCAAAAACCATGTTACTTAACACTCAGTTTGAGGCAATGTGTGATGATTTAGGCTTGCCGTTTGTATGATACCCGTTAGTCAGTAGTTTCCATTATCTGTTAGCTGCGTTAACCTTTTAACTCCACTGCAAAAATAAAGATGCAGATCTCAGGCACCAAACGGTGGCTTGGCTCATTGACTGTGTTTTGAGAAAGGAGTTTTCCACATCACTACGATTTTGATGTTGAAATAATTGTTAGTAAACTGTTTCTGTGCAGTGCATGGGCTCTTAAAGAGATGGCTTTGTATTAGGGATGCATCAGTACTGAAACTGGTATCGAGTATCGACCAGATACTGTGCTCGTGATGTAAGCCTACTGTATACTCCCGTGCTAATGACCAGACAACTCAAGCTGGCAGTGAACGAGGGTCTGCTCGCATAGCAAAATGTTTTTTGGCCCCTTGGCAATAGGACAGAATGTTCTTGGTCACTTTAAGCATTCTTCCTTGGCATGCTACTACCAGGCAAACCCTGTGCAATTTTAATTTGTTTTTAGACATGCTCGGCAACAATCACCAGCACTTTCCCAGTATGGCTGGACACATGCAGGCTAACAAAATGGAGGCAAAAAGTCTGACGTGCTACCAAAGTGTGTATATGCTGACTTTATTCTATTTGCCTGAATGGGATATATAGATTTTTACAAATAGATTTTTTTTTAAGTAGGCTGTAAAGAGACTGCATTGTCCTACCCATGTAAATCACTGCCTGGTTTTAGTTTCAGTGCACAGCATGGCACAAGTTAACAAAGCTACTGTAGCCCAGTTTCTCAGTATGTTTGCTCAGTACTCTGGTGTGCAGCATGTTATTTTGAGTGAAACAGCTTTAATTGTAATTGTCTATAGAAAGATCTGTCTATAGGGGCTGCGTCTCACATCGCATGTCTGTGGAACCGTGTGTTTTTAGACACTGTGACTACAAAAAATCATAGGCGTTGTCTGTACACAATAGTCTATTCAAATATTCAGTGTAAGTCGTCACCAGATAACAAGATTTCTAAAATCACACAGTGTATGCCTGACTTTAGAGAACTTTCAACTACAGCTCAAGCATCCAAAAAGACTCCAAGATGTTAAACTCGAAACATGAGTTCTTTGGATGCGTTTGCCTTGGATCTGATTCCTGCTGTCACTGTACTACAGAGATTTTTGGTGCAAGAGACAGAAGAGGTGCATGGGATTAAAACTGTGAAACATACTTTACTTACAGCTGTACAGAAGTGCTGACATAGAACAAAACCTGCACTTCTCCACTGTAGCGCTAGTCAGTCGAAGATAACTAATATAACAAAGCTAGTTATTGTCATTCAAAATCAGCAAGATTTTAATGATATAACTGTTACGGTCCATTGCACTTACTTACAGTAACAACTAGCCTTGGGGCGATAAATGATATTATCAAATATTGCGATAATTTCAACCGGTGACGATATTAAGTAAATTAACATTTTATTTTTTATCATGTACCCTTGCCGTGTGACTTTTTTCTTTTTTTGTCGTTCTTTGTGTTTAACCATTGACTTGGTACAAGTATTCTAATCTATGGTATCTATGTTAAGTTTTTTGACCTCAGCTATAACAGCAAAGACAGCATTTAAGTATAGACCATGCAAACATAACTAATT